GCGGCTCTGGAACCACACGTTGTAAAACCACTATCGTAGAGGCCAAACAAAACAGTTTTCTAAATACTTCATTTAAAGCAGTCCCTTCTCACTCCCTTAAGCAATTATTACTCGACATTATATATTTATCTGCCTTTTGCTTGTCCTTGTTAAGGTCCGGGAGAACAGGCACTTTGTTTTGCTGTTTTAGTCCCATCTTCTAGAACGCTGCCTGGAACGTAATAGGAACTAAAAAGATAGTTGTTGCTTAAATGAACAAAGGCAGCCCCCAAAGCTGAAACCATGAGAAAGAAAAAGGTCACTCAGGAAGAGGGAAGAGTAAAAAGGAGAAGGGCCAAGGACAGACCCTGGGGTACGTGGGCATTTCATATCAGAAATAGGAAATAGAGCAGAAAGCTAGGATCCAAGGCTGGTGCAGCATAGAAACCCACCAAGGAGAGATTTTTAGAAAAGGAGGGGACACCAAAAGTAAACATCAGAGATTATCAAAGATGAAAAGATTGAAAAGTCCTTAAGATTTGTCAATTACAAGATTTGTCATTGGTGATTTTGCTAAAAGTAGCTTAAGGACGCTATTTAGAGTAGCAGGCTCCTTGCTTTGGGTTGAGTAGTGAATGGTGGATGAAAAAGTGGGAAAAAAAATGAGCGTGGACTGTTTATTCAAGGACTTGGCCACACAGGAATGGCTACAGAGGTACATAGGTCAAAAGTGTATTTTTACGTTTCCCACTCTCTGTGTCTGTGTTGTGTAAGATTAAAAGGATTAGCGCATAATTTTGTTACAGGAAAGGAGCGTAAAGAGATACTGATTATACAGGACTATAATAATAGCCAAAGGTCATGAGGCTAGAGGAGTTGGGGAGATAGACACAAGAGCAGGATGGATGGGTGAGATAGATGGTCCCTCACCTGCTGAGACCACAAGGAAAGCTGAGAGCAGGGCTAGTTGAGTTGTTTCTGAGTTGGAAGCTCAGAAGGTTCACGCATGAGAGCCTCCACTTTCTCTGGGAGTCCAAGCAAAGTCAATTTCTAGTGGTGAGGCAGGAGTGGGTAAAAAGTGTAGGAGGGATGGCAAAAGTTGGAGTAATTGCTTGTGGGAAGAAAAATTGAACAATACCATCAAATGGTCCCAAATTAGGCATAATGTTAAAAAACGTTGGGAGGCAGGAATGCTATATTGGTTCTGTCATGAACTTGAACTCACCCACTCTCTCTTCTGTTTATCTAAAGATCCTCTCATTCTTGTCATGAGGCATATTTAAAGCTTCAGAAGCTTGAACAAAACACAAAAACCTCTTTCCTGGCTGTTTTCTAAGGCAGAACTGCTGGTAGCAGCAGCTGCAATTGAAATACACTCCTAGATGCAAGCAGGGATGGGAGGAGACCAGCTGGAGACAGTTAATTACCAGAATTAACTGATCATCATAATAGGCAGCAGGGTGGAAAAACACATTGGTCTAACTCACAGAACTCTCTGGTTGTTGTTAATTAATGGTAGGATCCCAAGGAATGAACTCAAAAAACAGCAGAGTCTTTTTAATTTGTGTAACAACAAAAGCAAACAGACCAACAAAACACTATTGTAGGTCTAGGGAACAGAGGCATCTCATGAGTGAGAGACCTGGCTTTGTCACCCTGTTCCTCAAACTAAATCAGATCCTGGACCCAGAGTCTCTTGAATGCAATCTGACTATTCTCTTACAGAAAGATGCTGCCCTACCTAACATTGCAAACCTTCATCCTTTTTAGGATAACTGCTCTGAAGAAAAGGAAACGCCTACGTTTTTCAGTGACTATCACTTCCTAATGCTAACTAACTCTAATTTCTGGGACCCCAAAAGTCACTGTTTGCCATTCACATTCTGAGTGTACAGGGGTTGGTGATAAATGAATTCTGGCCCTCTGTCACCTTTGGATAGGGCTAGTGGGACTGTGAGTTCCTCTTGTGGTTATGTACCCTGCTTGCCAAGTGAAAAACTGGACTAGGAATCTCAGTAACAGACAGAATTCCTGCATTGGTGCATTCACTCATTGAGTAAGGGCTATTCTGGTAGAAAATGCCAAGCAGAGTGCCAGAAACATACATCAAAAGCCTACCTGGAGAACTGCAGAGGCAAGTGTTACCATCAAAGACATGGAAGATACCTGGTGTGATTGTTCCTACCTTATTTCCATTCACTTCCCAGGTGAGTCATCACAAAAGACTTTTGGGTCTTGGAGAATGACTGCATTATCATAAACCCAAGCACGTGAGGACTTCCAGTGGGGTGTCCTCACTGGAGTAATTCACATAGCCCCTGACTCTTGGTTTTCAGTTATTGATCTGGGATTTAGCTCCAGAATAGCTTTCTAAAAGTCTCTTTTTTCTTACCCTTCTAGATTGAGCCGTAAGTGTTATGTTTTTCTTGCCTATCACTCTTTGTTGTACCTTTGTTCATGTCTGTATATCCGTTTCTTCACTTTAACGTGGGGATCATGATTGTACCTCAGAGTAACTGGGGAGAAAATTAGATATTCTACATAAAAGAGCATCTTGTAAGTGCTCAATGTGTGGTAGCTGTTAGATAATTGGGGATGAGAATCTGGGATAATGTTTTTTCAATTCTTTGTTCATTTTGCAGGAGTCATTCTCAAGTTAGATAAGCTTTCTGAATCTTACATGTCTGAAAATGTCTTTTCTTTTCCTGCACTTAATGCTGGTTTGGCTGGGTAAAGGATTTGTTTCAGCTTTGAAGATACTGCTCCACTGAGAAATCCGATAGCCATCTAATGTCCAGTGCTTATATAATCTCTTTATATAAAATCTCTTGGGTGCCTGGGTGGCTCACTTGGTTAAGCATCTGACTTTTGGTTTCAGCTAGGGTCATGATCCCACTGTTTGTGAGTTCGAGACCCACATGGGGCTCTGTGCTGACGGTACAGAGCCTGCTTGGGATTCTCTCTCTCCCTCTCTCTGCCCCTCCCCCACACACTCTCTCAAAATAAGTAAACTTAAAGAAAAAACAAAACTCTTGATTCCCTTTCTCCTAGGCTTGGGATGGGATCTTCTCCTAGGATGGGATCTTTTTTTTTCATTTATTATTCTAAGGACTCACTCGGCCCTTTTAATCTGAAAATGTGTTTTTCTTCACATCTGGGATATTGTCCTTCTTTTTTAACTCCCAGACCTCACCACCATTCTTTCCGTTGCTTCTGTAACATTTGTCATTTGGATGTTGGAACATCTAGATTCACTTTTCACATCTCATCATTTTCCTTTTTGTTAATTTGCTATTTAGCCTTGTCCATTCGACTATAAACCAGCCCATAAATCTTTTCTATTTTCTGTCAGGGGTTCCTCAATATACCTGCCTCATTGATGGAACATTTTGTTCCTAGAGCTTTTTTGGATTTAACATGTCATGGAATTTTAGATGGAAATTAAAGTAGATGTGCGTGCACAGCTTTCCTTCTTAATTCAGATTCCTTGGTTATGTTTTGGTTTGCCTTTTTACTTTTTTAGAGTGTACATCTTAAAGGTCTTTATACTGTGCCTCTGTTCTGCACCTCTTAAACTGTTTTCTAGTTTTCAAGGACCATAGAAATCGGGCTCATTCCACCTGTCCAGTAAATACATTCCCAGGTTATTTACCCAAATATACATTCCCTTTTTTAGTTTGCCAGCTCGTTTTTCTCCAATGGCACCTGGAAGTTTCTTTCTCCAGGTCCCAATCATTCGTCTCTTCCGGGAGCTTAAATTGCATGTAACTCTGCAGGGATTCAACACCTATCGTCAGAAATGCCTGTAATTTCCCCCGACGATCAGACCTGGGTATCTTTTTTTCCCCTTAAACAAGCTCCACCGGTGATTATGAGGCACACCCAAGTCAAGAACCTCGAGGCCCCCTCCACCTCCTCCTCCCACCTGCCTGTCCCAATGGCGGGACGGCCCGCTGCCCTTGCCCCTGTCGGGCTGGGGATGTGGTCGGAGAGGTTCTCGAGCCGCGGCCCCACCTCGCGTCTCCCAGCCACGCTGGACGAGGTAGGCGCCGGCGATTTCCGCCCCCCCCCGCGAAGGAACCAACGCCGCCCGAGAGCCTAGCGTGGCGGCCCCGCGCCGGCCGGCCCCCAGCCTGGACCCCCGAGCGTCCCGCCCTGCCCAACCGTCCCACCGGCCGCGCGCCCTCGGGGCTGGAACGCCGCGCGAGTTGCACGCCTCCCGCCCTCCAGCACTGGTGCGCAGGCGCGCGGGCGCCTTGGCGCTGCTCCTCCAAGGCGGCTGGACGGGAGAGCGCCTTTGAGTCTCTGGGCCACGCAACGGCAGCGCCCGCACTGTGGGCGACACGGGTGAGGGGCGACACTCCACCCGCCTGCCTCCTGCCGGCCTCTCCCCACAACCCCCTCGCTGCGTGGGCAGTCCCCAGGGATCGAGGGAAGGGAAGCTTCCCCTTCCGCCTGGGGGCAGGGAGGGACGTTGGGGTGGGCAGGGGACCCGGCTCCCCGGCACAGATGAGGTCGTTGACTTGGGTAAGAGGAAGCGGGCAGCCTCCCCGTCGGTCTGGGCCGGACCAGGTATGCCGGTGCGAGCGTCTTTACCGGGAGCCCTCTCCTAGCGCTGGGGAAGGCGGTATTGCGTTTGCCTGCTTCCCGAGCTTTTTCCCAGCGTCGAGGAGGGATCCCGTCTGAAGCGAAGTTTGCGGTGTAGAGACCCCAGACAAACCGTTATCGGGGCTTCAGCAAAGTCGAGCCAGGAGCTTGGACTTCCCACACGCTAGCCAGGGGCAATGATGTCTCCAGACGCGTGCAGGTGAATCGACACAGGTTGAGAGAGCTTGAATTGTGTGAAACGCCGAGTTTCAGAGAATCCTCATGGTTTTGCTTCTGCTTTATCACCTTTAGAACTCTGGTGTCGATTGTTTATATTCCACTATTGATCCTTTTAAACTCTCCCCTCCCTCCGTCTTGGGTTTGTCTGCTCTTCCTAATGAGCCACGTTTCTATCTTAAATCCGGTAGGGTGCTATGTCTGAACAAGAGCGTATCCAGGAATGCCTGAGGAAAGAAATAAGGTCACTTCTCATCTCCACCAAAGATGGTTTGACCCCACAGCAGTTGGAAAAGGAGTACCTTTTGATGGTTGGCAGCCATTTACCACTCCGGGTTCTTGGATATCGGTCCACTATGGAGCTGGTGTTGGACATGCCTGATGTTGTCACTGTCTGCCCTTGTGGGGATGGTACTGTAATACTGAAAGGTAAGCTTAGAATTTGAAGATCTATAAGTAACACGTAATTAGTAAAGAATTTTTCTGGTAAATAGGCAATGGGGAGTACGCCAGGTGATGTATGGAATTATTGAATGTGGTACACCTGAAACTAATATAACACTGTATGTTAACTGGAATTAAAAATACAAAAGAAAAAAGAATTGTTATAGCGATTATCCTGCACCCCAGGCAGGGGATTTTAATTTTTTGAGGGGGAGAGGGTTCATGGTTACCTTTGAAGTTGTGGGCAGAGTTAAAGCTTTAGCAAAATCAAGAATTTATTTCTCCAGAAAAATGTGCATTCACAGGAACTACATTTTGCATGTGATTTCAAATTATTGCACCTTAAATTGGAAGAAGCATAACAATGGGACTTTAACTATGACTTCATGTTTTAAATTTCGTGACGCACAGAAAAAAACATTGCAGGAAAGTTTGTTCATCTTGAGAGTTTCAGATATTTCAGGAGTCAGAAGTAATGTTAAATATTGGGCTTGATCTTTCTGTCTTCATCTTCTGATAGAGGAGCTAACAAGTGGTTGTCTAAAAGAGATGGAAGAACCAAGGGTTCATGTTTATCATGTTACCTAGATACACAGCTCCGTGGAGAATTAAAATTGTATAACCACAGATGTAAGGGTACAGAAAGGAGCAAGTTTTCATCTAACTGTGATTTCTTTTTTCACACCTCCTTAGCCATTCCAGATGAATCCACCAAAGGAATAGCAAGTTTAGTTGCAAAACAGAGGAGCAACCATAAGGTTCGAAATTCCATGCCAAGGGGAAGGGCCAGTGTTTGCTCTGGGCCGAGCTCCCGTCGTCGGCGAGTACCTTACCGGGGAAGGGTGCCTCCCATTCTTCCAGCTGTTGTGAAGAGTGAGTTGAAAGACCTGTTGGCGTTATCTCCCGTTCTCCTTTCTGATTTTGAAAAGGCATTTTCCAGGCGATTTGGACGTTCATTCCAGTATGTACAGTATGGATTCCTCTCTATGTTCGAAGTACTTAATGCTGCTTCAGATGTCATTTCAGTAGAGCAGACCAGAGCAGGTTCTTTGTTGATGCTAAGGAAGAGCGTAACAGAGGAAAAGCAGAGAGGATGGCCAGCAGGTAAGCATGTTAGCATTAGTACTTAGTAACTTAGTAATTGTGGGTTAGCAAATTTTGGAGCAGTCATGGTAGATAGAGAGGTAGGTAATGCCTCAGCTCCCAGAGTTTGTCAAAGTTGCATCTTGGCTCTGCCACTTGCTGGTTGAGTGATCTCACTCCAGTTACTTAAAACATCTGAGCCTTAGTTTCCTCATCTCTAGAATAGGAATAATCATACTTGCCTCTTGGAGTAGTGCTGAGGATGAAACGAGATGAGGTCTGAAAAGTGCCTGGCGTTTATAAGGGTGTAATAAGTGGTAGCTATTATAAAAATACAAGATCTGCTTCCTCTGGAACACTGTAAGCGAACATTAGTTGCGTGTGTTCACGTAAGGAAGATAGGGAAGATGAAAAGTTTAAAACTAATACTAGTTAGTAACATTTGCCATCTGAGTTTTGCTGGCACTGATGTTTGGTATCCTAGCAGGCGCTGCAATAATTTATGTAGTGTAATGATAACCACTTATATAGCGTTTTACCTTGGATTCTCCTAGCCACACTGTAGGGTAAATGACCCAGTCTTAGGGATAAGGAAAACAAAGCTCAGGATACGTAAATGACTTTTGCAAAGTTGCATGGCTAGAAAGGTGTTATAGCCAGGGTTAGAAACACAGCTGTTAATACTGTTTAGCCAGTGCTATTCTTACCCAGTCATTGTCCCTCTTGTTTTTGTTTTATGTTTATACACACACACTACTATATATACCTATATAGTAGTTGACTTGACACACAGTGTTACATTAGTTTCAGGTGTGCAGCACAGTGATTTGACTACCTTGTGCTGTGCTCCCCACAGTGTAGTTACCATGTGCCATACAATGTTGTTACAATACCATGGGTTGTATGCTGTACCTTTCGTCCCCGAATCACTGTCCCTCTTAAAGTCTCAGAAGACCAATGTGATCATTTGTATAGTGCGTCACTAGACCCTTGACGATACAGAATCTATACACTGAGCCTATTTTGGGAATCTCTACGCCTATTTCAGTGATTTTTCTTTTTCTCTAAAATCTGTATTTAGATTAATATAGGTGAAACCATGAGAATGTCCCCAGTTTAGAAACCAATACTTAAACTGTGGTAGGAAATGTAATTTGACGTTTATTTATTTTTGAGACAGAGAGAGACAGAGCATGAATGGGGGAGGGGCAGAGAGAGAAGGAGACACAGGGGAATGTCCGGGAAGCAGGCTCAGGCTCTGACCATCCAGCCAGAGCTGACCAGCGGAGACTCGGAGCACTTGGGACTGCAAGATCGTGTTGACCTGGAGCTGATGGGACCGGCTCAACCGACTGCGCCACCCAGGCGCCCCTTTTTTTTAATTTTTTTTTTAACGTTTATTTATTTTTGAGACAGAGAGAGACAGAGCAGGAAATGTAATTTGATATAGATATCCTAGGGGGTTTACGAGCTCTGGTCAGGGAAGACTATAGGGGCCAGTGTGTGTTTTGAATCTTACCCTCAACCATCAGCAATGTCAGTATTCTTGAGTTACTTGAACTTGGGGAGACAAACCTATGCTATTAAAGTTGTAAGAGGTTGATAGTGTATAAAGCAGCTTGCCAACTTATTGAATGGGGGGAGTGATATTCCTTCCCAGTGATTGGATTGTTCATGTTTCTCATCTGTGACCCTTCTTCCTATCATCAGGGTATCTTGGAAACAATTTGTGTGTGTGTGTGTGGGGGGGGGGGGGGGGGGGGGGGGGGCTTGATCTTATGGTAAAGAAAGAGACCACAGTGAGGTCTAGTGATTGATCATTCATGTTGTACATCAGCATATATCTTGCCAGTGGTATTTTTCTCCCTACAAATCTTGAAGAAAAAAATCTGTACTCTAGAATAATATCCTTTATTCTATAGCTTTTTATCCCCCTTTCCTGCTCCCATACTACTAGGTGATTATTCACCTAGTTTGAGAAGCATAGTTTTAAGCAGACTTCTTAGTTGGAGACTTTTTGGCCTCCTAAACGTTTTTAGGTTTTTACCTATTGAAATCTGCCTTTCTGTAATTATATTCAGGTGATCTTAAATGGAGTTTTTAGATAGCTCCAACCTTTTCAGTAACACATGTATGATCCCTTGGTTTTCTTTTATAGATGACTAATCTTTTCCATTGTATGTAAATTTTATTTGGCAATATGAAAATGTAAGCTTACTTTCCATAATTGTTATTTCTAAGTTGAGAACAGTTAGGTCACAGTAGCCTCTACATAGAATCACCAGAAAATAAAGTAGAAATTGTTAGTGACAACTTTTCTCCGCTCTTCTTTTATTCACAAAAGGAGGTAAAATGTTTACCCAGCCTTTTAGAATGAAACAACAAAGGTCCTACCCTACAGTCTCCCCAGTCACAAAGGCACGCTTTTCGCAACCCACTTCAAACTTGGAACCACCGAAGCAAATACTGAACGTGGAAAATACTTTTAAGTCAAATGTGGTAGAGACTTCAAGGCTGAATCACGCTGAAAAATTAAACCAGGTGAGATATAGGAGTTTGGAGGTATAAACCAAAAATGTGTTTAAATTCAGTGGTTAATACTTAGACGGAGAAGCTTAATTTCATATTTAACTTGAGCATTTTCTATGGTTGTGTGGATTATTAGCTAGTAAGAGGTGGCAGTGAGAAAAGAATAAAATTGTATCAACTCCCATGGTTTCTGTTACAGGCTTCCCCCACTATTGGAAAGTAGGGTGTTCCTATGAAACCTTTTGAAAGTTGAAACTGTGTAAAGCAAAGAAACAATTGCCATTAATTTATATAGAAAAAATTTTGAGCCTTCTTAGACCCCAAAAATAACCTCTCTTAGGCTTTTCTGATACCTTATGCTACATCTAGCCAATGGATTTTCTACCTTAGGACACATCTTGCTAGTGGATGCACAAAATAAATGGGGGTAAAGCACAATTCAAAGCTATGGTGGTTTGATGCTGAATGTAGTTCTTGGGGAAGGAGGCTGGTGATGCCACTCTGGCTGCTCGACGCACGCTGTCCCTATAACCGCTCACTGCAAAACGATTGCTGGATGCTCTTTTTGCTTTTGGCCTTTATTGATAAAAGTGAAAATCCTTTTTCGATTTCTTTGGGTTAGCAAAAATGAGAATGGACCCTAGATTTTTCATAAAAGTGAAAGGGCATAGCATGAACTTTTGAAAAGTGAGGGACACCTGTACTTTGTGCAGCTGTCTCTAGTTCCAGCTTCTCACCAAAGTCCTAGAAGTATATTTGCAGCTTCCCTCATGAATATCTTCACCTGAATGGCTGGCCCTGAGCACTACGGTCCTGGTACTTTTCTGACTGTGTGTATGCTGAAGGAGTTTTGAACAAAAGCTACTAGAATATAACCAACAAAAACCCTGGTTAAATTAGCAAGATGACAACTTTCGTAGAGCTTAGAAGAAGCACATGGAAATTAAATTCAAGATATAAAAGTGCCTTACCTCTATAACTTAAAAAATACTAGCTTTAGTAGCATAACTTACATATAGTTTATCCATTTAAAACGTACAGTTCGAATTTTGACAAATGTACCTCATTGCATAATCATCAAAATCAAGAGGCCAAACATTTCCATCATTCTCAAAAATTTCCATTATGCTGCTTTGTAGTTGATCTCTTTCCCCAGCTGTAGACACTACATAAATATTGCTTTCTGTAAGTTTGACTTTTCAAGAATTTCATATAAATGGAATTAAATAACATCTAGCATTTGTGTCTAGCTTCTTTAACTTACCATGGTGCTTTCGAGATTCATCAGTATCAGTACTTTGTTACTTTTTCTTGTTGCGTACCGTTCCACTATATTGATCTATCTCAATTTGTTATCCATTCCCATCAGGTGACATCTGGGTTCTTTCCTGTGTGGGGTATTTATATAAATAAAGCTGCTATGAACATTTGCATACACTTTGATCATGAACTTCTCTTGAGTGAATACCTAGGAGTAGGATTGTTGGGTCGTTCAGTAAGGGCATGTTTAACTTTATAAGAGATTGTCAGACTCTTCTAAAGTGGCTGTATTATTTCACATTACTGTAAACTACATATGAGAGTTCTAGCTGCATCTTTGTTAATGTTTGGTATTGTCCACTTAAAAAAATTACTATTCATGGGGCGCCTGGGTGGCTCAGTTGGTTAAGCATCCAAGTTTGGCTTGGGTCATGATCTCATGGTTCATGGATTTGAGCCACGCGTTGGTGTGGTGACACCTGTGCTGACAGCTCAGGGCCTGGAGCCTGCTTCCGATTCTGTGTCTCCCTCTCTCTGCCCATCCCCGACTCGTGCTCTGTCTCTCTTTGAAAAATGAATAAACATTATTTTTTTTTTAATTATGGGTGTGTAGTGGTATTTCATTATGGTGTTGAAATTTCTCTAATGATGAATAATGTTGGGCATCTTTTCATATGCATATTTTCCATTTGTAAATTTTCCTTAAGGTGTCTCCTTGCATCCTTTGCTTGTTCTTAAAAATTGACTTTTGTATTGAGTTGGAAGAATTATTTATATATGAATGGGTACAAGTCCTTTACCAGAGACATGTTTTGCAAATACTTTCTCCTGGTATATGCTTATTTCATTTCCTTAGTTCTGCCTTTTGTGAAGCAGAAGCCTTTAATTTTGATGAAATCTAATTTATTTATATTTTTCTTTTGATTCTTGCCTAACTAATCTTTGTTGAATCCAAAGTCACAAAAATGTTGTATGTTTTCTTCTAGAAGTTTTATGATTTTAGTTCTTAGGTCTATTACTGATTTCAAGTTAATTCTTATATAAGGTACCAGTATGGACCAGAGTTTTTTGCAATGGATTGCTAATTCCTCTAGCACTATTTTTTTGAAAAATACTCTTTTCCTTGCAGAACTACCTTATTACTTTGGCACCTCTGTGAAATCTGTTGACCGCTTGTATGTGTAGCTTCTGTTTTTAGGACTGTCCATTCTGGTCCATTGATCTACAGGTTCTTTTGCCAGTACCCTTCTCTCTTACTATAGCTTTATAATATCTTTCTTTTTATTTTTTTTAATGTTTGTTTATTTTTGAGAGAGAGAGAGACAGCAAGTGGGGGGAGAGTAGAGAGAGAGGGAAAGACAGAATCAGAAGTAGGTTCCAGGTTCCGAGCTGTCAGCGCAGAGCCTGACACGAGGCTTGAACTCATGAACCACGAGATCATGACCTGAGCCCAAGTCCATCGCTAACCCAGTGACTGAGCCACCCAGGTGCCCTTTAACATCTTGAAATTATGTAGTTAAGTCCTACAGCCTTATTCTTTTTCAAATTGCTTTGGCTACTCTAGGTTCTTTGCATTTTCATATAAACCTAATTTGATATAAATCAGCTTGTCAATTTCTACCAAAAATAAATATGCCTCTTGTGATTTTGATTAGAATGAAACAAGGGATCTAGAGGTAAGTTTGGGGATAAATGACATCCTGACAGTATTGAATCTGCTGATCCATGAGCATAGTATAATTTCTCCACTTCGGTCTTTAAATTTTTAGTACTCTTTTATAGTTTTAAGTACTCAAGGCCTACATATGTTTTGCTAAATTTTACCCCCCACCACCACCATTTTTCATACTTTGGATATTATAAAGGGTATTTTCAGTTTATTTTCTAGTTAATTGTTATTAGTACATAGAAATCAATTGGATTTTTGTATATTGACCTTGCATCTTGTGACCTTGAATCAAGGTACTTGATAAACTCAATACTGTAGTTGATAGGTATTTTCAGTTTATTTTCTACTTAATTGTTATTAGTACATAGAAATCAATTGGATTTTTTTTATATTTTGACCTTGCATCTTGTGACCTTGAATCAAGGTACTTGATAAACTCAATACTGTAGTTGACATCATTCTAGTAACTATTTCGTAGAGTTGGGATTTTCTGCATAGACCATCATACCATCTGGGAGTAGACCATTTTACTTCCTTTTCAATCTGTATGCCCCCCCCCCCTTTTTTCCCCCTTACATAAGCTGGGCTCTCTAGTATAATAATGCATAGAAATGGTGAGCATGGAAATTCTTGTCTTGTTCCTGACTATAGGGGAAAAACATTCAGTCTTTCATCATGGTGTTAACTGATGAAATATGTTTCATAACTATGGTGTTAACTCTAGCATTTTTATAAATGCTGTATACCAGGTTGAGAAAATTCCCTTCTGTTCCTAGATTCTGAGAATTTTTTTCCATGAATGTGTGTTGAAATGTTCTCCATCCATTGAGAGGATTATAGGATGTGCTATTGTGATTTATTATATAAAAATTATATTCCTTTTCTCATTTCTAGCATAGAGCTCCTAAAACTCTTGGAATTTTTGAAGTGGTAAGAAATGTAAAGGTATCTTTTGTTGCTAATGAAGTGTCTTTAGAAAGGACCTAAGGATGGGGGCTGGTTGCCAGTTGGAGCAAACGATGTCATTAGAGGGTCTGAACTTTTAGTCCTACCCCAACCTCCTGAGAGAGGAAGGGGGCTACAGATAGAATCACTGGCCCCTAGTGAATGAATCAATCAGTTGTGCTGTTGTAGTAAAACCTCCATAAAACCCCAAAATACTGGATTTGGAGAGCTTTTAAGCTAGTGAACAGTAGAGTTTTGGGGGACACTGGCATGCCTGGAGAAGGTATGGAGCTCTGTGCCTCTTCCCGCTTATCTGGCTGTATGCATCTTCTCCATCTCACTATTTCTGAGTTCTATCTTTAAAAAAATTTTTAACTGATTTTTAAAAAAAAATTTAAGATACAGTTGATATAATAGTTTCAGATGTACATGATGCTTTGATATGTGTATAATGTGAAATGATCACAGTATGTCTACTTAACATCCATCAGCACATATAGTTAGAAATTCTTTTTGTGATGTCTTAAGATTTACTGTCTTAGCAATTTTCTGTAGTAACATATATAATACATATTATTATAATTGTATAATGTGTCATGTAGTCTTATTATATTTATTAATACATTATGAAATATAGTTACCATGCTGTATATTACATGCTGTACAGGACTTAATTATTTTATAACTGGAATTTTATACCTTTTGACCCTGTCCACCTATTCTACCCACTCCCAAATACCTGCTTCTGGCTATCATCCATCTGTTCTCTATATCTATGAACTCAAGTTTTTATTTATTTATTTTTATTTTGTTTTTTAGATTCTGCGTATAAGTGAGATCATACAGTTGTCTTTCTCTGACTTATTTTCCTTAGTGTGATGCCCTCAAGGTCCGTTCATGTTGTCACAAATGGTAGGATTTCCTTGCTTTTTTTTTTTATGGCTTAATAATATTCCTGTGTGTGTGTGTGTGTATCATACCATCTTTGTCCATTCATCTGTTGATGAATGTTTAGGTTGTTTCCATGTCTTGGCTATTGTAAATAATGCTGCAATGAACATAGGGATTCAGATATTTTTTTGAGTTAGTGTTTTTATTTCCTTTGGATAAGTACCCAGAACTGAAGTTGCTGGATCAT